TCTTTGTCATCATGGCTCAACCCTGCAGTGACCATCCACTCACTACATAAGGATTGCAATTGTTTAAAAGTAGAGACAGAACATGTGTAGACATGACCAGCAGTTTCCTCTATAAATAGCTACAAGTTTTGGTGTTTATTGAGCTTCTAACACTACAATAGGAGTTTTTTTGTTGTTGTTAGGATGTTGATAAAGACATGTTGTCAAAAACACATCTTTAAAAAAGAAAAGCAGTTTTGGCGTGAACTAGAGATGCCAACCCTTTGGCTAAATGTCTCCCAACTGAAACACAAATTTGCCCAAATTTTCACAGGGAAAAGTGATGTACCAAATTGCACTGTAGCTCTGGCCAAACATAGCAAATGAGAAAAACACATTAATTGATAAAAACACATTTGCACACATATTCATCTTGGCACATCAAAGGGATTCATTGATGTCACTGAACATGGGGAGTCTGCGGCTGGAGAGGGGAGATGTTGGTTATCCTTTCCTCAAAGGGTGCTGAGATGCTCCTGATGGGGCCCGCGCTTGAGAAGCCAGAGAGCGCTATAAACAGAATTTCTAATGTCAGGCGGGCGAGTGGGTGGGTTAGGTAGTGAACTAGCAGGCTATGGGGTAGCGGGAGGAATTGACGCCAGCTCATGCTTTCCACAGAGACCAAAGAGGGAAGGATACAGACCAGGACTGACACCATTTCACACAGTTCTATACAAGTGAAGTTAGGAAGCAAGCATGAGCGTCCACGGTCTGAAAACAAAATGCAAACTGCATGTTTCTGTAAAATGCCAATAGAGAGGCTGTATGTGAATCTACAGATTACAGAAAGTGTATTGTCTCCAGTTATGACTGCTGATTTAGACGTCTGTCACACAGTGAGTAATTTATAAGGCACTTAAAGTGGAAAATTATCAACACATTATGGCACTAAATCACCACGATAAACTGCTTTGGTTTGTGTTGCACTAATTAGACCTGACCCCGATTGCCCCTGTGTAATATAAGTGCTGAGACGTACAACTGTTGAAATATGTACAATAACAATTCATTCAGCAACCAATTAAAATTCCTCTATTTGAAATTCTATTTAAAATGTTAAAGTGCAAACATCAGCCCAAATCTTCCCCCCTCCTTCTTATAACTAATGTAATGTTTCAAAACAAAACTTTTTGCCAAAATTTAATTTAATTTCCTCAAGCCCAAGCAATGAGTTCATTATCAAAATGAATCACTCTGGGAGAGAGCTCTCTGCCAGCGATGGCATTTCTGTGGCTGCTGGCGATCTGCTTTTAATTGAACAGAGCCACTAAATTGATGTAGATGTGTTTGCCTTTGAAGAAAAAATCTTTTTAAAAACTATCAACCTAGTCAAAAAATGTCAAGCTCTGTTGACACAGTGCTTGGTTGAAAAAATATTTGCGCGCTAACGTTCAGGAATACAACACTGAGGGTTGTCAGAATGTGAACCCTGTACACTGTTCCCTCTGTTGCAAAGTATCCACAGAGCTTCACCTGAACATCCCCCCACCCCTACCCAGACACACAAACGTGAAGCACGCATGGACGCACGGGTGCACACTTGCACACACGTACACAGCAAGGTGAGTGAAATGCCAAGTGAGCCACCTGATGAAACGACACCTCCATGCAAACAGCGTTTGCTTATGCAGGGAGAGGCCCTTTTATTCAGCGGGACAATGTCTGTGTTGACTTTTCTTTGTCTGCACATTTTTAAGCAGCAAAAGCGGCCGAAAGAATTGGGGGGGGGGGAGTCAGAGAGGCATGCAATCACAGCCACTGACATGTTCAGACTTATACAAGCTCCCCATTCATATCTCAATCTCAAACAATTTTCCATTCAACAATCATGCTCATGAGTTCAGGTGACCCACTGCGTATTTGATGAAGATATATTTGAGCGGCTAACCTCGCTCTTGCTTACTCGCCACCTCTCACACACAAGAGGCATTTCGCTCTTTGGCGATGATGATGATGTACTCCCAGAGTTATGTAAAAGTGCTGATGGAGCTGACAAGAGGTGGCGTCAAGCAGAGTGTATGTGTTCACCAATTAAATCTGGCACTAGTCTGTCACTACAGGAACAATTTGGTGATAATCATGTCAATGAATCCACAAACAATAAGCTGGATTTGTTGGGCTGACTTTAGTAAGAGGGAGAGAAAAAAAAAACTCTCTGGCCCTGCACCCCACTGCAGGCAGAGGTCTGGTGGAACATCTCTGCAAACATAAAAACTCCTCCTCAGCTCTCAGTGGATTACAGCAGAATGTCAGCTCTGAGCAGGCTTTAAATCAGTTATGCTTGGCCCTCAGGGGAACTCTGTGCTGATCCCATGTAGGCCTGTCTCTCATTGCTCATGATAGGGTTGCCACATCCAAATTGAAAAGTTTGGGATTCAAATCCTTCATCATGTAGCACATTGCAGAGCGAAATCACTGCACGATGACTCTTAAGCAACAACTCGTATCTACTATCCAGCAGTGTGTTCTTCTAAATACTGACTTGTACAGAACATATATGCATTATACTGCTTTATTGTTACACACAAATACTACTTTGTGAGACCAGAGGGAGGAGTTGCAAATAGATTTATGCAAGAAATGTAAAAACGACACACACACACATTGTTCTATCTGTAATTACAAAACATATTTTCTTCGCTCTCAACACCATGAAACAGCAGCTCTCTACCTGGACTCTGTTGCCTGATCGCAAGATCTGCTTGAGAGACATAACTTTAATGTGTCTCATGCAGTACAAGTACAACCACATACCACATCACACTTATAAAACAAATCTGTCGGTCCCAACAGGGCTTTCCAAGACATACAATATAATAAACTGCCTGCAGGCCCTGGGATTGTTTGTGTCTCAACAGCAGGGAGGTGACAACACAAATTAGGTGACCCTGTGGGCATATTCCACAGAATGATTATGCATGGTAAATGTAGCTGTGGAGCTCATTAGTTAAACTAAATTGTTGGCCAGACACGGGTGCAGGCCACTGGTAAATATCAACCAGTAAATCTGACTGTATTGAACTTCATCTACAGGTGTAAACAAGCCAACTGACCCCCCCACCAAAAAAATGCAAGCCTAAAAACATACTAAGTGGAACCTCTCATCAATCAAATTCACTGCATTCACACTGAGCCATGTGCAATATGGAGACTTTAAGACGTCTGGTAAGTATGCCAGCCATTGTCTGTCTGCATGTTTTCTGCTGCGCTGGTGATTGACAGTGTCAGCTCACTCTGTCCCATTGACCTCATTCTTTTTTTCTCTTCTAAAATGGAGGATTATACCTCCAAATTTTAAATCCTTTCCAATTATTTGTTACTTTGCCTCAAGCAACAAGAACAGCCATTTTAATTTTCAACTTTGGTTTGCTGGACAAAAACACAAGGAAGCGAGAGGCTACATGACAGGCTGCTAAAAATTCAGTCCATTACTTTAAACTATAATGTTTATAACAAAAACATATACTAACGGCCCCTGCAAAAATCCACAAAATATTATGATGCATTTATTTTTCAGTGTGTGTATCTCTGACGTTATTCCTATGAAACTCGTCAGCTAGCGTGAGCAGAGTAGCCATTTAGTTAATGAGCCCCAATGGAGACCTCCAATGAAGCCATCAAGACTGCTCAGAATAACAATGGTCAACTAACGCCTTTCTAATTGAATGGAAGGTAGAGGGAGGCGAGGAGAGTGGGCCTGGAACACTGAAAAGGAGACAGAAAAAAAGTGTGTGTGTGGGGGGGGGGTCTTTTTATTCAGATGCCTGCCAGGCCTTAACGATAGTACTTGTTTTTGGGGGGTTGTGACATGGAATGGGGGATGGACGAGCTCGGAGGAACACAGCTCTTCAGCGGGGATTATTTCAAGGAAGTTTGCATATTAGCCCCAGTTGTATTAAATAGGTTACAATTCCAAAAGGTGGTGGTTAAATTGTTTAAATTGGCCATGTTTGTTTGGAATCAGTATTTAATGTCACTACTGGTTCAAACATGTTCTTTGACCTTAGCGTGGGATTCTTTCCATGAACTTTCTTACATGCCATTCATTAGTCACATTTGCAACATTGCTGACTTGTGTGAAATTACTGTAAGCATTGTGTCTCTGTGCTTAATTAACCTGTTGTTTGTGTGGCTTGTTTTGGGAAACAAAAACACAATAGCAGCAAAAGAACAAATGCAACAATGCTGGTTAAAACCCCTTTCCAGTTTCATGGGCAACTGATGTGATGCAACCGCGCAACAAGTAAATGACTCATTGCAAACTCTGCATCAACAACACTTACTTAAGACTTTTAAAAGTCTCTGGACAACAACTGTCATGGACAAAGCAGTGAAATGCCTCCCATGTGTGTCAAAGCAAGGTATTACATTGTTCTTACCGTAGGATATGATTTCATGAACAACTTTTAATTTACTGTAGAGAATGTGTGCAACAAGCTTGTAGGCACTAAAGTACACTGAACTGTTACTAGTCAGTAAAATATAGCAATGCCTCCATTAAAGCACCCTAAGTACTAAAGGGAAAGCACTCTGGAGGGTGTAGGCTAACTTAAAAATATCTTGCAATTCTAAAATAACATTTTTAGAAGAATACTAAAACTCTACATTACAAGATATAAGTCCCTACCTGCAATTAATAGTAGTAGCACATGACAAGACAAAGTCTGCTATGAAGTAGCCTATATAATCAAGATCCAGAATTAGTGTTGCGGGGTATTTTCGACATGGAGCTGTCATAAATCATGCCAAATTAAAAAAAGCATGACTAATGCGTCTGAACTTTCAGCCAAATGACAAGTTGTCAAACGCAAGCCATGTTGAGGGTGGGTGGCAGGGAGAAATGCGTATCCCCAAAAAAAGAACAAAGAAGTAGTTAGTACTCCTTGAGAGGCCACTCGGAGGGAATATGGCGGTCTGGCAGTGCACAAGGAACTTTTACGCACGGCCAAAGTTTTTACACGTTGCGAAAGAAAAATTTAGAAAGGGACAGAAAGGAGCAACATAACCACAGAGACACTTACTGTTCTTGCACTCGGAGACAATGAACCGTTGGATAGGTAGGGATTGGTGAGGTCTGGAATCATGAGAAACGGGTAGGCAGGATAGTGAGGACTCTTGAAAAAGCCACCATCTTGCTGCCTTCTCAGTGCTGCAGGGATAAAGAAAAGTCAGGGTTGGTGAAGCCACAAAAGCGACATAATTACCAGTTACAGTACACAGAGTTCTGCGGATGTTTGTATGTTTGTTTATTTTTTTACCTTCACTGAAGTAGTCTCTGGCTTTCTCATAACTTTCTAAGTCGGGTCTGGTTTGGGGGCGCCTCTCTGCTGGCTGACAAGGGGAGAACATAACACACGGAGGGGAAACTATTGAAACTTTCAACAGCATTAAATATAATTTCTCTTCACGCTGAGCAGTGTGGAGGACGTGTTATATTTGCAGTGCCCTTACCTCTGAGTCTGACGAGCTCTCCGACTCGTTCACTAAGGAGGATTTCACATCATCCAAATCCCTTTCCGCTGATACATTTTCGGATATCTTTTCCTCCTGCTCCCCTTCGTCTTTAAAAGAAATCATCTCATCATTGGCCCCCAAATCATCACCACCACCTCCGTTCAGCTGTGGCATTTTAGCAGAACAGTGTGTATAGTATCGAGGAGAGGAAAAACAATCGCGAGAAAACAATTCTCTCTTCTTTTTTTATCAGATCGGTGTAGTCCAAACGCGCCGCTGGAGTGGCAAACTAACTACAAGACACTGTTCATGTCTCAAAACTCCTTTTTCATCCTCTGAAGGCGACCCCGCGGTCCATGGCGAGCCTTGCGATAATAATCCACAGTTAAAGTTGCAACAGAGACGCTGGTAGAAAATATTGATGAATATTTGGCGTCAGTGGCCGGATGCGCAGCAACTTGGCAAAGTTTCGCCTCCTTCGCAGCTTGTGGACAACTTGTGGCCCCTGTGCGTCTCTCCTTGTTGTGCTGCTGAGGAATGGGACTCTCTCTCCTCCTCCTACAGAGCCCGGGGACCACATAAACTACGAGTCCAACGTTTCTCGACGTTACTCAAGAACAAGACACACGTCCGGTTTCATCTCCTAATATCCATGTGTAAGAAAACAATGGCTGGAGTAAAACAGGAAAAAAACGTTTTCTTCACTTCTAACTCGCTTGCTTTCCCGACGATTCGCTGTTGTCTCTTAACGCACGCAAAGTTCCCTAAACTATAAAAGAGAAAATAAAAAACAGATTGCAAAAGTATAAAATGTTCAGCTGGAAGAAGTCACCCTTTCCCTCCACATTGCTGCCGGGGAATGCGCCCTGAAAAACTACTTGGTCGTTCAAGTGGAAGAAAAGCGCAGCCCGTCCGTAGGGGAGGAGTTTGCACTGAAAACCGACACTTCATTCACTACCATGCAGATCAACTATTCTTCACCCTCAAGCCACCGAAGCGTAGCCACGCACACATGAAATGATCAAGGCAGTTTAACAGAAAATAATAGGAAAATAAAGTAACAGAATACATGAAATACATAGTTATTAATTACTATTATTAATTATTATTATCGTAGTTATCGCATAAATGATCAAAAACAGGAGCAAAACCCTTCCATCTGCTAATTTTGTCTTTGTAGGCCTATTGTAAATGAAAATAAGTCCAAATGAGGTGTTTCCCTAAGTAGGCCTATATGTTTTATAAGAGCTGAAGTTAATTTGAGCAGTAGTCTATCATGTGGTATAGTGATCCAGTGTTGTCCAGACCAGCACCAGAGACCACACTGCCTCCATGTGTGTGAAAATGACAGGCCAGGCTTTGGTGAGAAAGTCATAATTACACACTGCCATGTAAATTGCACGTCTGTGTGTCCTGAAACAATACGCTGGGTAAGACAATAACACCTGGGATGAGCGTGGGCTATTATTGCACAACTGTAGGCATGACAGAGTGAGGCAATGAGCCTCTGAACATTCAGGCCTCCTATGGCATGACAAGTTGGCTCTCCTCCTCTCTCTCTCTCTCTCTCGCTCTCTCTCTCTAGACTTAAACACATGGCCCCATTGTTGATTTGAGGAACAGGATTGGAGGCCCACTTTTGCAAGCAGTCTTGGAAGAACAAGGGAAGTGGTTACAGCTTCTTTTTTTTCTTTGTTCCTGTGGAGTAACCTGCACATAAATCTAAATCATGACTGGGAGATGTGCTTAAAATGCAAAAAGAAATGTGGTGTATGCTCACAGCACATAGAAAGTTGCAAGGCATTCTAAGTTGTAACACACATATGTTAGCTGTTACTCTTGTGTCCCTTATGTTGTTGTAGAACATTTCGTTACCCCATCCTCCTTCTCCACCTTTCTCCGTCCGAGTCCAATGGACCTCAGACTTCTCTTTGCCTCTGATGCAATTCGACAGGCTTCTCCTGCTTGAGAAAAGAAGTCATTGATGTTGTCGACTGCATGTCAGCAAGCTCCGGGTTGACTGACAATTCGGCAGTGTCTCCACGGGCCTCATTAGATCACCACTCCTCCTGGGCGTTTGTGTGTGCGTGCACGTCAGTGTGTGTATTTGTATTCAGTTAAAACCTACATATACGGTAGGTGCATATTGCAGTTTCTATGAATTGCATGCAGTGGTTATGGGCAGTGGGTTTCTTGTACACAGAAAGACACATTTGCACTTGCATGCACACACACAGGTGAACATTTGCCCTCAGGGTACATATCATTGTTACTGGGCTACAGTATGCAGAGAATGTGAGAAAACGCATTTTCCAAATGATGCCCAGACAAGATGTTCATTTTGTTCATCCAGTTTTATAATGCAACCCGTTTGACACTGACACACAATATTGTTTTCTTTACCCAAAAACCAACACAAAATAGAGAAAATACAGATTTTTTTCTTCTAAATGTACCACATGTCAGAGAAGTAATGGACTGTGCGTGTCCCAGCAGGTGTAATTACAATAATTCAGTGCTCATGCACCATTGCCTCATGAATGATTAATAAAGAAATCAAATATTAAAACAAGTCAACATAGAAAAATAATAATGACGTGCATAAGCAGTTGCTGAACAAGAATATCTCTTAAATACTGACACTTCTCACACATGCATTAAGTTTCAGCAGTGTGCTATTAAGCACCACTGGCATGCAGTAAGTAGACTGTTGTCCACAGTAAGCTGTAACACCACAGTGAGATGTAACACTTCTGTGATAGATAAAAAAAATAAATAAAATCTAGCGCATCTGAAATGTTTTATTCCAAAGTGAGAAAGCCACCGATTCAATAGCAAAATGATGCCTATTGTTACAAAATGGTTGCTGGTGTGAAAATAAAGCACATCAATTGATTGCTTTTAACTTTGCTTGAAAAACATAATTATTTTCTGGACACAATCACACACATATATAATTACTCCATGATACATTTCAGGTATCTTTTATGTGTTTTGTGATGGTACAAAGTCCCTTACACTGATCTATTCATCAAAGCAGCTGCACGTTTGCTTTTAGGGAAGCCTGACAATCGAGGATGTGATGAAAATTAATGTCTTTATACCTGTAACATGTGAAAGAGGATTTTGTTCTCCTTTACATTTACCTATGTCTCTCTCCCTCTCTCTATGACTGCCTTGTTGGAGAGAGATTGGTTTTAACAGGGAGTTGATGAGGGGTCAGGAGAGATGCGAACAGCCACAATCTTAGCCTGGGGGCAGATCGACTGGTGGCCAGAAAATTTATTCAGAGGGTGCTGTCCCTGCATCTGCCTTACTTTGAAGTTGCTCTCACAACTCTGGCTTGTCGTACGTGACTGTGTTCACCCCACCCCACCCCACCCCACCCTCCACACACACACACACACAGTGTGAAAAAGCAGAGATGGAGCACTCATGTGTGTCGATACCCATGTATGTGTTTCTCCTCGTGATGTGTGTTTCTATCAGAGTGTGCTTGTGTTTGCGGTGCTGTGTGTGTGTGTGTGTGTGTGTGTGTGTGTGTGTGTGTGTGTGTGTTTGAGAGACAGTGAGAGTGGAAGAGAGAAAGGAAGAGAGAGAGAGAGATGCTGTGTGCCAATCCATACTCGCTTTGGAGAATTCAAGGTCATCCTTTCATGTTTTGCCAACCATCGGTCAATCAGTTTCCAATCAAAGTGGTGCTTAATTCAGCAGTAATTCCCATCCCCTCATCACGTTTTCGCCTCGCTGTTTCAGAGGCGTTAAAGCATTTCCCTTGTCTTGCCTCTGATCTGCTGCAGTGTGCCCAACGTGTCTTGCCAGGCCAAACCCGCCCTGTCAAGCTCTCTAATGATACTAGTTAAAGTGTGCGGAGGACATGTCAGATCACACAATGTGCTACTGCTGCTTCCATCTATCTCACTTCAGGAGATTTAGGTCTCCCTTGATTGTCTTTGAAGCATACCTAAGTCATGTTCTTTTATTAATCCAAAGGGCCCACGTGAATGTCTTTATTTGATTTCGTACAGCTTGAGATTTTGCAAGATGCAGCAAAAAGGGAAATTGGACAAAATAAATCTGGAACTATTGTAATAGATGTGGTATCGAATCTTTATATGATGCTGCTCTTCCTGTAAGATGCTTTTTTGTCTTTCTTTTTTTTTTTACAGTATATATGACACATTGTTGTCTTTATCAATAAATGGCTGATTCCAGGCTTCACATCATTCAGCACATGTCACTGGTGTTGAATTATCCATGATATCTTTATTTTTTTGAACATTTTGAAATACATTTTCCCCCTCATATGACCCAATTAGATGAACATCAAGTGTGTACCAACTTTCTTTCAGACATAACAGAAGGATCAACAGATTTAATAGAAAGAAAGCCGTTTCAACCAAAGGGCAAGATCCTTTGCAGATGAACTTACACAACTTGTTTGTATCACCACTGTGCCATATTAGCTCACCTCCTCAGTCATCACACTAAGTCTGGATGGGAGTGCCTCATGCAATCATGGATCTCACAAAAATAACCTCATATCCGTTTTAATCCACAGAAAGGTCCCCTTTCCAGGCTGGTATGGGCGTATATGGCATTTAAGACTGTGTGAGGATATGATTAGATGACAGTTTTTACTGCCTAAAGGGTGTAACTGAAACACTAAACTGTGCAAAGAAGGGGAAATAAAAGAAAAAAGTAAGTTTTGTTCCTGCCCTTCTCCTTCTCTCTGGTGTTTTGTTGCATTTGTAGTGTCCTTTCACGTTTGCAGAAACAACGCTCAATGAAGGCATCCTTCTTTAGTGAAATTAGTGTTGGCTGTGTTAATTTTTAAGTGATCAAATTAGAAAAAATACATACAATACAAACAATAATATTTAATTGGGGTGAGATACAGTCTGAATTAACACATTTCTGTCCACTGCTTTAACTGTTCAGACAGACTCCAGTGAAGTTATATGAATTAATTAATGAATCAGTGAAAGACATGAATGAATGAACATTGCCTTAACAAAGGCTAATCAATGCAGCTCATGCAAAGGGTGTAACATTATAAGACTTAAAAGACATCAAACATGCCCAAGTCCTCCAATGCGTATTTACATGGTTGCTAAGAAGTGCTCACTCACGTCTCTTTACTGAAATACATGTTCATGTTTTTCTGTATTGCAGAGGATGCTTTTAAGGAGCATTATTTCTGAGAGCTTCAAAGCCTGCCAAAAGCACTCTCCTTTTGGAGTGTGCGGCAGCTTGAAAATGTACTTATATTTTCCAAATGGACAGGAAGAGGCCCTCACTGGTATTGAGGTGATGCTAATGCAGTGTGGCGCTAGTTTTTCAGTGTAGCTCAGTTTACAGCACAAAAATACAGCAAATTAATCTTTTACAGGCTTGATTTTATATTCACTTTAATTTCCCATCATTTTAATTACAAGAAGACAAACCTACTCTTTATTTTTGCTGTGTCTATATGGAAATCTGTCTTTTATGGTTTAAGGAAAAAAACCAAGCACAGCCAACAGGTCCTCATGGACACTATTTACTATGTACAGTTTTGTGACTACCATAATTGTCCACAAAGCCTGAGTCAGACTCTTTCCAGATGCTGCATTCAGGCTTTCCTGGTATCGCCTGGTTTTTATTGATCCAGTTAAAATTATCGCTTGCAAGGTCACAGTCTTCAACTGTCTGTGTTTTCTCAGCTGAGGACGCACTGCACCGCTCCTTGGAGGATTGGAGATTCTTTCCTGTGATGTAAACCCTGCCTAAGAAGTGAGAGGCTGTTGACTTTATTTAATATGTCCGCCAGATTTTTATGAGCATTAGGCAAATGAAATGGTTTGCATTATGCGTGAACCATACATTCCGCAG